AACTCAACGTAGTTATGATGATGATAATGCCAGATCTTGGCCACTGTTTATAAAATTAAAAGATACATCTCAATAGTGAAAGGATTAACATTCCCTGGATAATTTATCTGATAAGAAGCACATTATTTATGATCAGATCCATTCATGTTTTATTGCTTAAGATGGCCTAATCAATTGGTAATGTGTTTTAAACATGCTCATCATTATTGATTACATGCTGATTTATGCTTCCAGCATAATGTGGGTTTTTCTCCCTCTAATTAAAGAAATGGGCATGAAAAAGTTACAATAAAATAGTTAATCTAGTTATACTATGGTCTGTGTTTCAATAAGGTGCTGAAAAAGCATTTGGTTCCCAATTCACAAATTAAGCCTGACACCTCAAATTCTTTGATTAACATTAAAGTTCCCCCAATTTGAGAAAGATAAAGATAATTCAAGGGCTCTCATTATCTTTATCTTGCAGCATTCAAATGCCTATCCATTTCCACACCATGAATGGGAGCAGTATTCTAATAGTAGCATTCTGAAGACCAATTCCTGTCAGTTACCCCAGCAAATTTTCTATAATCAGAAACTGTGGTAATTATATGGAAAATATTAAGCTCTACTTATCAGCTAAAAATATTTTTTGTCAGAACAAAAGCAAGAAGAGTAACAATGTAAAGAGAGAAGATGAGCAGTAAAGAAAGACTGAAGAACATAAAGCCATAATAGTTGGGACATAGGCTTTAGATACACTGAGTCATTTTGAGATTATCAAAATACATTTTTCCAAAGTTTAAGTTGTGATGATGATGTGCAATAAGGGGATTTTTTTTTACCCTAAAACAAATGGCCACCAAATTGTCTCAAATGTAGCCTCTTATGTGTCTATGTGTTTTTTTTTAAATAAAAATTGTCTCAGTATCCCTTCTTATTCTGAATGTCAGTGTGCTTTTATTCAAAAATTCCGTATTTGTAGTTAATTCTATATTTCTAGTCAATTCTATAGCAAATAAAGTGGAGAGGCAGTGTGGTGTAGTGGTTTGAGTGCTGGACCACTCTGTAGACCACCATTTAAAAGAGAGTGAGTGTGTATGTGAGGGAGAGAAACTGCAGAAATACAACAGCTTGACACCACTTCTAACTGTCATGGCTCCATCCTGTGGGGATAGTGGGATTTCCAATTTTCAGCCTGGTCAAGCAGAGAGCTCTGGTGCCTCATCAAACTACAGATCCCAAGATTCTGTAGGATAGAGCATGGCAGTTAAAATGGTGTCTAACTGCTGTGTGGATACACCCAGATTGAGAGAAAGAAAGAAAGAAAGAGAGAGAGAATCTAAGAGGGGGAAAAAGGCTTGCAGAGTGATATGTACAATCCTGTGCTGGAAAGAATTTGATGCTGGAAAAGTAACATTCTCAACATGACTGAGTTTGACAGATTCACCTAATCCTTCTTTTCTCTTCCATAGATCCCTGTATTCCAAAGAGGTATATGACTCTCTGGAATTCCTTGGGTCTTGTGTCTTCTGTACTAGTACTTGGTTCTTCAGCCTTTGAGTCCTTGTCCAAGTTTCTGCCAAACTCCTGGGACACAATAAAATGTCTGAGAATGACAATTAAAGAGACAGAAGCCAGGTTTGGAAAGGGTAGAGATCTGTAGAAGGGAAGCAAGTGCAAGAAAATTCTGCTGCAAGCACCAGCACACCATTAGATTAAGCCCATTGGATTGGAAGGACCTTCAGATTGGGATCTTTTCAGATTACTCTGTTATAGCACTATGGTTCCACTTTTGACTGCCAGGGTTCCCTCCTGGGATATATAGAATCCTGTGTTATGGCTTGGGTGAGCTGTAGTGCCTCAGCAAACTACAAATCCCAAGATTCCATACAATGCAACCATGGCAGTTAAAGTAGAACCATAGTGACATAATTGTGTGGTGTAAAAGGGCCCTTAGAGTTTGGAGAGAGATATGTTTTACGCCAGAGTAAGCCACATGGGGATAAAGGGGTCAAAGACTTGGTAGATAGCTGGTAGCGAACATGAAAAGGAGATTTGTTTGGTGTATGTAAATTTAAGATTTTTTTTTAAAGGTGTGTGATCAAATTTTTTAAGGCTGAGCGAAGAGTATGCCACATGGAGTGTTTAGTGGCAGCTAGTAAATTCAAACTGGGCTTTAATCTGAGTTTGAAAGGAGCTATTCAAGGTGCTTGAACCCATCTATCATCATGATAGATTTCAGCACCTTGGATAGTTCTTTTAAAATTCAGGATGGTTTCACTCTCCTAGTAACATAGTAGCCACCATCTGCTATTGCTAGTGCTGTAAGAAACATCAATGTCCATCAACTTTTTGAAAAAATAATAGAAGTTCAGGACACCATGAGCTTTTCAGGAATCAAAGACTGTCAATTACATGAGAGACAACAGGACACAAATCTGTGTAGGATTTATACGCTTTGGTCATATATCTAACAGCTTTGATTTACAATAAAGATGTAATCCTAATTTGATTCATGCTAAGCTAATAAATGAGAAAGTGCCATTTTTTTCCCTCCTCACTTTGAGTCATCCCAAAATGTCAACTTTCCACTTTGTTGGGTCTCTGAGAAAAAAACTGCACATTTTCATGAGTGGTTCTTGCACATTTCTGTGAAATGAGCACTTTTGAAAATGTGGTAATGGTTGTCCTGTAACACAAGCTAGTAAAAGTAGTAACATTGGATGGACTCTTTGTGTCTTTGCAAGCCATCAGTCAGTTCTAATGTGCTTCCTTTCTCTTACTTGGCTTCACAACAGAAAAGTTACTCATTTTACCTAGAAACAGTAGTTTTACACAAATTATATTTTGTCTGAATGGTGAAAACCACAAAGGAAACAAACAGATTTGGAAAGATAGCCTACAGCAAATGTGTGCACATTAAATCTGCATGAGGCATGTGATATCTTTTTGTTGTTCTTTTTTTCTTGGCAATTGGTTCACTTAGGTCCATAAACTGTGCATGTGCTACAATGCTAAGAAGTTAGACTAGGCTGCAACATTAAAAGGCCTAAATACTAGATCCTGTCTGATCTTGGAAATGAATCAGGATCAGCCCTGTTTTGGATGGGAGACCACTAGGAGATACCATGGCTATATTTCAGAGAAAGAAACTGGCAAAATCACCTCTGAGTATTCCTTGCCTAAGAAAATCCAATGGAATTCAAGGGTTCACCCTAAATCAACAGGTGACTTGAAGGCATGCATACACACACAGAGAGAGGCTTCAGCAGACATTTCCTTGTAGGTTAACAAATAAGTATTCTTTCCCTCTGTAGACATCCCAGTGCTATGTTTTGGCATAATTAAAGGAGTAATAGATTATAGAAAAAACCTGCATTGATGTCATTCCAAGGATGGACAGGAAATTTTCATGTTCATCAACATGAAAGAGTTATAAACTGGCTGTGCTGTACAACACTTTTGTTGAAGAGCAAACACACACATAAGCACTGAACTGACTGCATATCTCACGTACATGTGCACATCATGTGAAAGGATATCTGAATCACAATGGCATCACATGGATAACTCTCTTCTTCAACTTTGAATTGAGTGTGGACATTGTTCATTAGACAAAATGTCCAGCTAGTTGTGTAGGATAGTGTATGCATATGTAAGACTCCATCAGGCTCCCGGCTTTGATTGTCTGAGGCTTGTGACAGAACCAAGATCTCTCAGAGGATCTCCACATATGTGGCTTTAACTTTTGCAGATTTGATTATTCACAGGTTTGGTTAATAAGTTCTCTCTAAGAATAGCTAGATCCTTCAGGAAAACTCTGTGGTCAATGTCCACCAGATGACACACTGGAGGACCTAGAGATTCCTGGAAAGATCACTTCTTTGAGCATTTGTAAGTCCTCCAACACAATTCTAAGGTCAGTTTATGGCATATGTTGACCATAGAGTTTTGTTGGATGACCTAGAGATTCCTAGAGAGTTGTTCTCTCATAAAGAAAATATAGTGGTTGTTTTTTTTAATTTGTGATTTTTCCACTTTTGCAGCTCTAACCCCACTGAATGCAGATGGTCTACTGCCATGCCAAGATAATTGGATTCATGGACAAGCTTAGAAGCAGTGAGATTTGTTTTTTCACAGTTCTAATTCACAACTCCATTGTTTATTTCTAGCAATGCCACAAACTCTACCAATGTGTATCATTGCTCCAAAGAACCAGCCTCACAGGTCTCTCTTCATAGAATCATGAAATAAATTTTGAAAAAGAAATAAAAGCAGAAAATAACTAGGAGAATGAATTTGGTTTGAAGATCTGATATTGTCCTCTCGGTAACTAAAATCTGCAGAAGGATTTGGCTAAAATATAAATTAGCCTGTTGAAACAATTCAGTGTGATAAAAAGGAAATGAGACTTTGCAGCTGCATGTCAATATATATTTTTTAATTCCTTCTATTCTCCCTAATGCAGCATCCTGAAATAAAGGAATGGTTGGGAGAGGGGAGAAGAACTAGAGAGGCAGCTGCTATATATTACTGGAAAAGAAAAAAAGTTTTTGATGATGATAAATTGAAGGGACAGATGGCTGCATGTGCCTATTTTAAAAAGCAGAATGAACATCAACAGCTCCCTTTAAAAAAATTATTGGGGACTTACAGAATGGCAAAGGGTGTCCGCTATTTACATTTTTTAAAGGCATGTCATTTGTGCTTTCTTAGGTCTGAAATAGGTCCTCATTGTCACTCCAAGCTGTGTTGTGGGTGGGTGAGGATTGTAAAGATGGAAGTACAAAATGGTTTGGGGTAATTTGAATGGAAACTCATGAAACAGACTCCTTTGGAATGGTAGGAGTGTGGTTGGACTCTGCTGGTGTGTCTCCAAGTTGTTTTTGACTTGTGGCAACCCTAAGGTGAACCTGTTGTAGGATTTCCTTGGCAAATTTCTTCAGAGGGGGTTTGCCATTGCCATCTTCTGAGACTGAGAGTGTGTGATTTGCCCTAGATCACCAAGTGGGTTTTTATGCTCGACCAGGGAATCAAACCCTGGTCTCCAGAGTTGTAGTCAGCACTCCAACCACTACACCATGCTGGCTCCTTCATGGGAGATTTTTAAAAAGAGGTTGGATGGACATCTTTCAAGAGTTCTTTAATTGTGTTATTACTGGATAGCAAGGGATTGGCCTAAATGACCTTTGAGGCTCCTTCCAACCTTAAGATTGCATTATCCACTAAAGCATCCCTGCCCCTATTTAGCTTAGCTTCAGTTCTCCCTTTCTCTTGGGAGAGTATGAATATTTGCAGTACCAATGAGCTATCCTATCCTTATTGACTTCATCTTGAATGTACCATTATAAAAGCCTTGCTCTTGGTGAAAGATGAAAATGGCAACAAATGATTTGTTGTCTGCATTTTCAGACTGTCCTTGGAGCTGAAACAATGGGGTCAGTACTTGTATTCAAAATCTGACACACTTTACTAAGTATATATAAAGCATCAGGGACATCTTGAACTGAGGCACCCAACATGCAGGTTTCAGTGCTTTACATATTAGGATTCCATTGAATTATATGAATTGCAAAAAAATTGGTTATATCAAACTATTATATTGCTACGTTGGTTTTAAAATACTTTCTTTTCATATAGGAGAATGGATATGCACAATTTTATATCCCTAAGACTTCCTTTTTGTTTCAAAGTCTCACAGCTTCATGGGTTCCTGAACTATTGCTTTTGTAAAATCCATTCAAAGTGATAACATGTAAGGATGGATCTACTCAACAAGTCTTCATCTTTTCCTACGTTCAGATCTTTCCCATCCAAGTTCTGTGGATTTTTTTAAAAAAAGAAAAAAAAACATGGAAAAATAACTCCATACATATTTCATGTGTATTTTTCAAATAGACATATAGATGGGCATGGAGAGACATGATGCCTTGAATTTTGTGTATTTTGTGAAGGAACTATGCAGCATGCCTGAGGACAGGGGGTCTTGGAAGTGTCTCATCCATGGGTTTGCCATGAGTTGAAGTCAACTCAAAGGCAGTTAACAACAACAAATAAGATTTTAGCTAGTCTTTGTTTTAGGTTTTTGTAAGCGCCTTTGATACACTTGCCAAGGGAAAGGTAGGATACAAAAAGAAAGAAAGATTCATTCCATTTAAAAACATGTACTTAAACCTGAGTTTTATTTAAACTTAGAAACCCAACACATCCCACCATCTTACTTATCAGTGCCTTGGGACTATCAACACTCTACAGCATGACTTAAATTTGACACATCTCAGAAATGTCAATATTGATCAAGGATGGAATTGGCAGCTTCCATAGTTTCAGCCTATCTGTTTCATTCCCATTACTCCATTGGCATTCACCATCTGATAAGATTTGACACGGCCAAGTCAGCTGCAAAGCACTGTTATGTCTTTCTGGAGGCCAATCACTTTATAATGAGTTTAGTGGAAAGTACCTATGCAATACATCATAGCTGACAGCAGCTTAAGGGAGAATCTAAGACTTCAAAATTAGCAAGTGAGGGAAGTTCAGTCACATCCTTTTGAAGAGAGAAAATAGATTTCCTTCTATAATAGCAGCCTTTTAAAATACACATAAGTCAGAGCCAGAAAAACAAATAAACCTTGTTGCTAGGAGCTTTTTTGTCAGTTTTGGACCTTCTTCCCTGTGAGGTAGAAATAATGGGCACTAGGGATTACACTACAGAGAATTATGTTACATGGTGAGGGATCATTTCTGATGGTGCCTCTAGCACGCATAAGTGAGATGGATAAATTAAGTAGTGCATTCCCTCCTATGATGGCAGCAAACAGGGAGGAAAACTGAAATGAGCATATTCAAAAATCAATGGAGATTTCTCATTGCCTTCCATAGAATGAGAAATGTCTATGAGACTAGACCAGGACCTTCATCTTGAAATCATTTCCTACACAACTCAGTCTATTTTGTCAATATCTTCTATATGGTGAAGCGCCCACTCATTCCTTGAAGAATTTAACTCTAGCTTTAAGTAGAGATGCAATTTTTTTTTACTAAGTTTCTTTGTGATAGAAGCAATGAATAATTTTACCAGTTTTCTTCCCTCTGCAAAGACTATTTGAAGTTTCTGAAGGCTTTTCACAAATCAGGACTTAATCTGTGCAAAATTTCCATATTTTTTGTACCAAAAATGGCCTTTCCTGTACCGAAAATTATATCCACACATAGAAATATTATTTTCTGCACCTACAATTTTTCCCTGCACAGAAAATGCTGTTTTCTGTGCAAATCATCCATGTGTGAATTTTGTACAGAAAAGTCTTGAACTGTGAATATTCTTATCAGTCCAGCATTGATCTCATCAAGGCTTCTCAGCACTAAAAAAAAAAAAGTTATTGACACAGATACACAAAAAACTTGCACCTCTCTCTGTGTGAATGCTTCTCCTCCTCCAGCCAGGGCTCTTAAAGGGCCAGCTGCTGTGGGAAGTGTGAGAGAGAGAAATTTGCTTCCAGTGCTGCTTTGTCCTACCCTTCTTTGTAGCCAGAGCTCTTAGAACAAACAGCTGATGAAAGGGCAGAGAAACACAGAGAGAGGAGAGTAAATGAATGCCTGCCTCCTGGTCTGCTGGAGCCAGCAGTTATCAACAAATTATCCTCTTTAAGGATTTTGCACTTCAGCTCCCAGAAACCATTGGCCAACATGGCTGAGGCTTCT